TCAAAGTTAATATCATCAACTGCAATTCCTCCATTTCCCTTTCCTATTTCTCCTTCCACCATTACCTGGTAAAATTAAATTGCATTGTGCTGGTTAAAACTCTAACAGCCAGAACAAAGACTAGTTACTGACTTTTTAATCAAGCATGCATTGAAGAGACCAGTCTTCTGTTATCTATCAAGGTTCAAGATGTCATACCAATGTATCACTTTATGAAGGAACAACTCTGTCACTGAAAGCACAATTTCACTATCGGGGTAATGTGTAAGACACGTTGCACCATTGTGAGGCAAACCAGCATTCGGAGATGCATGGAGTACAGTATAATTTATGCAGGTTTTTCATATTCTCAACATAACTGATACTGAGACATTTTTACAGAAGTACTTAAGATGGACCATGGCCCTCTTTTATGCTATTCTGTTATCATCTGTTGGGTTAAATTATCCTTGGGGCTTGTGGGCCTTTTAGATGGACACTCTCTCAAAATGGCTGCTATGGGATTTACCAGAAGGCAAAGTGAGATTATTCATTCTTTTCTTCAGTGCTTTGTGATGCTTTCTACAACCCCAGCTTAATTTTACCTATTGTTTTTTCTGAGGGCGAAGATCACACTGAACTGCCGTCACACATCATTTATTTTCTAAAAATGCCTGTGGGATCTACTGTATATGGGCTAGCCTCCCATTTTTTTTTTTTTAAAAAAAGAACAAATAAAAGCTATGGAGCCTTACAGGCCCCCAAAGTGAGCACCACTTTAGTGTAGGGGGAAGAGGATGCAGAAGAAGAAAAGAGGCTTGCCAATATACAGCTGAGTTACAAACCATGGCAGAAAGAAGAGCTACTTTAAGCTTCAGGGGAAAATACCCAGGATGGTTAGAGCCAGACTCCTCTGGAAAGTGTGATTACTTTCTTTGAGAGTTCTCCTACAGGAGTCCCACCATCTGAGGCTAGATGGGTGGTGATCAGAAGTCTCTTGCAGTGAAAGACCCCTATGGGATGACTCTCCTGGTGCCTTCAGTACCAGACGCAAAGACCTTGATTCTACAAAGAGGTTTCCATCTGAAGTTGTTTAGGTGCTGCTATGATTCTGTACTTAGCTGCTGCTATGATTCTGGGCTTATTTTTGACTCCTGTACTTTTTCATAATATAGATGCATGTATAAAATATTAAACTGTAAATAAGCTGGCTCAAAGAAAGAATTTCTCTCCCAACAGAAGGAAGAAAATGAGGGCACAACTGCATTCATCTGCAGATTAGGTACCACAGATGACAAGTTCATGTTTAATATGAAGTGGCTAATTCAGACTTTGCTTCTCCCAAATCCAAATAGTGCAAATACAATTAGATATGATAATATGATTGCATTTGTCTTCTGCAACCTAGTGCTCCACAGACACAAAAACCCTTTGCACACAATTGATCCAGACCTCTGGCAAAAGCAACTGGTCCCTCCACCAGCAGTCCAAGGGGCATGAAGGAAGGAGTGGTAGAAGTGCGTGTGATAGAAGGGGTCAAAAAGGAAAGCAGAGGGTCAGCAGGAGACCTTATATTTTGGATGCAAGAGGTTCCAATTCAACCCTTTCCTAATTAGCATTTAAAATGAAGATTCTGACTGTGAGGTTTAGAAGTCTGAATTTTAATCTTAGCTAGCACAGCAAAGAAAACAAGAAATTGGTCTTAATATTAATAGAGCATATATAACACAAACAACACAATATATCACAAACAACAAGCAAGGAATGCAGCATGCTTTCTGATGCTGCAACTAACCACAGTTGACCCTGAGGCATAGAAGCAAAGAAGAAGATACGAGGCTAAATCTGCCGAGCGTGAAGTTGGCCCCCCTTATTGCAATCAACAGCATGTTCAGTTGGGAGCTTCTCAGTGAGGCAGATCAGGGAAACAAAAACCAAGCACCAGCCTCAAGGTTCAGGTCCAGGTATTTGCCTCATTAGTGATGTAAGATTGGGGGCTAGACTATGTAATTAATTATGCGCTATCGATTTGCATGTTCTCTCTCTGTTTCCAAGTAATCCTTGCTCACCTAAGCTCAGGGTTCCCACTTTGCTTTGCCTGGGGCCCAGTGATACCATGGAGTATTAAGATACTCCATGGGTATCTTAATCAAGCAAATCAAACTCAGATCTCTGTTGCTCTGGTTCTCATTTTAGTGCAGCAGCTTTTTCTCCATGACAGACAACTTAAGACGGGACTTCAGTCATGCACAATGCATGTAATGCTGTTATGCTCAGATTTCTCGGCCTACCTGATAATGTTTCACAGATTTGTGGAGAAGAACCCGACCTTCCTTCCAGCAGTTTTCCTGATTTCCACTTAGCATCCATAAGACCTGATCGTATACTTTAGGGGTGTGGTACCGCAGTTTGATTCTTAGCGTGCCGACGTGAGGGCCCGACATATGATACCAGAAAGTCATGCAAAGTGCAGAATTTTGCAGGTTGATGATGGGGCTGATAAGGCGGACAATTTTGCCTTTCTGGTTTTCATCAGCTTGGGAATAAATAAAATTGCCATCTCCTATTGTGACAAAACACTGCATTAGAAACAATGACCCAGTTTTGACTCCCTTTAATCTGATAAACTTCAAGCATTACAAGGTGAACAGGCTTCTTCTGAAAAGTTGCAACTGAACAGTATATTGAGAAATATTCTGGCATCTATGGGTATGCCTTTCTCCAATCTCACCTTCCCCTTCCCACCAAAATGTTTCTTGTGAGTCACCCAGAGTTGCCCCATTGGGGGGAGATGGGCGGTTGAAAAATTTAATAAATAAATAAAACTGAAATTTGTTAAGGCATGAATGTTCCTGATTTATTAAATGTTAAGGCATCATTTTGGTAACAGTGTGGAGAGATTATTATGAAGGAATGGGCAGGGTAGTAAAGTGGAGATATTAAGACATGTTTCTGCCCACGTCAATTCATCCCATCCACTTTCCATTTGTACTATATGTGTTTCTTACATGATAAAATGCTTATAAAATATGTACACATTTGAAATGCAATTCATCATAAAAATACAATTCGTATGGAGGTGGGGAATTCTGGGAGTTGAAGTCCACACGCCTTAAAGTTTCAAGGTTGAGAAACATGCCCTAAAGGGATACCTTAGCTGCTGTTTGTGTACATTCTGGTTCAGTTGTATTGTATGGGAGTTAGCTCTTGTGTGTGAGAGTAGATTTTTCAAAAGAACCCCACCGCTTCTGTCTCTCTGCATCCCAGCCTGCAGCTTTTGAAATAATCCTTCGCAGCTTTTCTGTAATCAACTAATTAATGTATTCATTTCCATATATTGTCAACCCCTTTTTCAGGGGAGAACGTGTCAAATGGCTCTTCTAGGTAGAAAAGTGCAGGAATAGCAACTGACTTGTTCCTTTAAACAGTGGCACCATGAAGATGAGGTTAAGCAACAACAACAACAAAAGAAGGATATCAGGTATGTCTGTGTGTGTGTGTGTGTGTGTGTGTGCGTGTGCATGTGCATGCATGCATGTATGTATGTATGTATATCTCCCTGTGCATCTGTTTTCAGATTATAGTTTTAGAATGTGAAAAGTACCTAATGTCTGATGCTAACAAAATCTCATTTAAGAGATACCATTCCGCCCCACCCCAACCCTTCAATGAGAGAACAAGTAATTCTAGGACAAGATTTGAAATGGTGCCATCCTTTTCATCAGTACAAAGCTGAATTAACATAAATGTTCCCTGGCAGGTCTTCTATTTTAAATGCAATATTTATTTTTCCCCACTTGTCACTGGATCACTTGTTAACCCTATTTTACCTGTGTGGTCCTGAATGGGCCCTGTTTTGCTGGTGAGGACGGCCCATCTCAGGTCCAGCTGGCTATCGTGTTCCCAGCGACAGATTGTCTTTTGAGAACTGTAGCCAAATCCACAGTTGAAACCATATGCTGGAAGTTCTTCAGTAATGGAGTAGTGGATGGCTGCGAGAAAACAAGATGTAATCTGTTAAATTATTGTTGTACTTTAACTTCTTTTCAAAAACGCATCTAAAGATAATTCTAACAAACAGTCAATGTATCCTACGTTCCTCTGACATCTACCCCCACTGATGTACATGCAATGATTGGCATTAAATAGCCGGGGGTTGGGGGTGGGGGGTGGGTGTGTGGGGGGGGGGGAGTCAATGAGCTTTCCACCAGTTTTTACATTCCCATAATGTCCCAATATGGCATTG